ATGGAGCGATGTGATTGATCCACTGCCTCTGCTAAGGTACTGATCGGTGGCGTTCTGTGCCTGGAATGGTGAAACATCGCCCCAATAGAATTTTATCAGGGCCCGTGGTTGATGCCGTAGCGAAATATTTTTATTATTAGACTTATCCATTCTATGGCTACTGCCTCAGGCTGGCCCGTATTTCTTCTTCCTCATTCCTTTTCTCCATCGAATCTCTCCCCTCGCTCAGTCAGTCTGTTTCGTGTTTCTTTTTCTTCAGTCTGATCTCCGTCGCATTAGATCATACTGACCTCTCGTTCTCCATCTGGCCACTAACTCCAGTCTGTCTTTCCAATCGCTCAGTCGCACGCTCTCTGCTTCCTCTCGTCTTTCTTGCTTTGTTTGGTTCGGCCCACCACTCCACTGTCCCCGCACGCCGTCTGCCTCTGGTTCTTCTGCTTGTGGACGAGTCTACGTATTTGGTCAATCCTTACAGGCGCAGGTTCCAACGGGCTCGCGCCAAATCAGATCGCTTTGTTCTGGATCGACGAGTCGATCTCGGGTGTTGGTAGCTCACTTGGCTTGTCGCAAAACCCAGACACTGGTTTAGCTGGCTCGCGCCCCACTCAATTTCCCTTGTCAGGGCTGCAGGCCAGCTTCTTTTCCCTCGGGTTAGTGTCAAACAGTCGAAAGTATAAAGTCAGAGGAATCGTGGTCATTGGACCCTTTTTCTCTCCTTCTCGTTCGTTTCGATGTCCGGTCGACCTGGACTCACGGAGAAGCGTTTGTCGGCCCATCGCTTTCAACCGCTTCCAGATTACGCAAATGATACCATAATGGCCAATTCACACGATGTTACGATTGATATTCCCCTGACCAATGTTCCCAGTCGCTCTCCGACGGGAGCACGGAGGGGGAGTGCGCACACGGCCACTTCGGCGGCCTATCACCCTCCCATTGAGGATGTTCAGACCAACACCAGCGAGAAGGCCGGATTGGTCGCTGGCACTGGTCCTGGCCGTCGGAAGAGAACCGTTGACGACTCCACGGGCCGTTCGCTCGAGGAACCTGAGGACGGCACCCTCACGCGGATGGGGAGGATTTACCAGGCCATCCTCAACTTCTCTATCGTTACCAGGTACCTCATTTATGTCACACCCATCGCGCTCTTGATCGCTATTCCAATCATTGTGGGAGCCACGGCTGCGCAGGATGCGAGAATTGGCGGCGTGACGCTGCCTTGGTTCTTTGCCTGGATTGAGGTTGTCTGGTTGAGTTTGTGGATTTGCAAAATTATCGCTCATTTTCTCCCTTACCTGTTCCAGTTCCTCTGTGGAATTGTCAGCCCGGGAACTCGCAAGTATGCTCTCATCCTGCGCGCGCTAGAACTGCCCATCGCGACGGTCTTCTGGACCATCGTCTCGTTGGTGACTTTCCTTCCGGTCATGACATTAAACCCCGAGAAAAAGCGGACAGGCGACACTTCCGCCAAGGACTGGGAGAAATCTGTCAAGAATATCCTGTTCGCTTTGTTTGTCTGTAGCTTGATTCTGCTGGCGGAGAAATTCTTGGTCCAACTCATCTCCATCAGCTACCACCGAAAGCAATTCGACTCGAAGATCAAGGAGTCGAAGCGGCACATTGACCTTATCGGTCAGCTTTACGACGCCTCTCGCAACATGTTCCCCATGTACTGCAAGGAGTTTCGCGAGGAGGACATGACCATTTCCGATTCGCTCTTGGGTGCAGCCACCGCGAAGGGAGTGGTCCACTCGCGCTCCAGCTCCTCGATCCCCCTCAAGCTGATTCGCAATGTTGGTCATAACGTGGGCCGATTTGGTGACAGAGTTACCGCTGCGTTTGGTGGTGTCGCCCACGAAATCACCGGCAAGGAAGTGTTCAACCCCACTTCGGTGCGCGGTATTGTAACACAGGCCCTGGAGCGTCGGAAGGCCGCCGAAGCTTTGGCACGCAGAATCTGGATGTCTTTTGTCATTGAGGGCAGGGATGCCCTGTACCCCGACGACATCGCCGAGGTCTTGGGAGTCGGCAAAGAGATGGTTGCCGAGGAATGTTTCCATATGCTCGACCGGGACGGCAACGGTGATATCAGCCTGGACGAGATGGTTATGGTTGTTGGGGAAATTGGACGTAACCGCAAGGCCCTCAATAACAGCATGTACGATGTCGACCAGGCCATTCATGTCTTGGACAACTTGCTGCTGACTGTCGCCGGTGTCATCTCGGTGCTGGTCTTCATTTCGTTTGTGACAAGCGGTTTCGGCACCGTCATCGCGGCCGGCGCCACATCCCTCCTGTCTCTCAGTTTTGTTTTCGCGACCACCGCCCAGGAAGTACTGGGCTCGTGCATCTTCCTCTTCGTCAAGCATCCCTTTGACATTGGTGACCGTGTCGAGATCAGCGAAAAGGACTACATAGTCGAGCGCATTTCGCTGCTGTATACCGTCTTCAAATCGGTGACAGATCAGCGCATAACTCAGGTCCCCAACGTGGTCCTCAACACACTCTGGGTTGATAACTATACGCGTTCCAACGCCATGCACGAAATACTCAAGATTCCCGTCAGCTTCGACACAACATTCGCCGATATCCAACTCCTCCGCGAAGAGATGGACAAATTTGTCCGTGACAAGGAGAACTACCGTGATTTCCAGCCGGATGTCGACGTTGACGTTGTCGGTGTCGGCGACATGGACAAGCTTGAGTTGACCGTCAGCATCCGCCACAAATCCAACTGGGCTAACGAGTCGATCCGTGCCATGCGTCGCTCCAAATTCATGTGTGCGTTGGTTACCGCTGTGCGCAAGATTCCCATCCGCGCTCCTGGTGCTGCCGCGGAGGACGCTGCAGGCGACAGCGAGACCAAGGACGACAAGCCCGACGCCGACAACGCCGACCAGAACAATATCACGCGGACCGCATCCGGCCAGCGACGCGCAGCAGCGGCCGGGATGACCATGGATGCCGCCGCCCAGGAACAGGCTCGATCAACCGGCTTCAGCGCCAGTCAGTCAGCCGGCACGCTACAACGCCGCGGCGGCTCTTCGTCCACCGACTCGGGCTACCCGGAACGCGCCAACAGTCGCACCCCGAACGAAGGGGACAACTACCAGACCCCCGCCGCCTCACCCAACCAGAACCGCCAACTCAGCGTCAACTACGGCAATCTCGCCCGTGAGCCATCCACCGGCCGCCGCAAGGCAGGCACCAGCACCAGCGAGCAACCCCCCCTGCCTTCCCCCACAGCAGGCGGAGTTCCCATCATCGCGGAGCCCGTGCCCCCTCCTCCTCGCCAGCAGCCGCCGCCGGCGGGCTCGACATCCCAGGGGCTCCCCTCCGAGTATCCCTCGTATCCTAGCATGTCAAACTACGGAGGTAGTTTCTACGGGTCTCACAGCCAGGAGACGGCGTACGATCCGGAGCAGCCGCTCGAGCTCCCGTCGGCGGTAGAGCATTCCGACTCTGACTCGTTCGGAAGGTTCCCGGGCTCTTCGCCGGGGGTGCAACAGCGCTACCCTGACGACCATTCCAGGAATTGGAATCAGTCTCGTCCGCCGTACGGAGGACAATAGTTAGGTTACTGAAAACAAAACGGATGGCGTTGGTGGTATTCTGATTCATTTTTGTATTGGTATGGAATATGGGCGATGATCTGGTGCATATATCGGGCGGTGAAATCTATGTCAAACTAGGAAATCAACTAGTAATTCGCAATGTAGACGAGAATTCTATTCGGCATGATTAATATACATATGACGGTATCAGACACCGTCACAGACCTCAGAACGTACTGTCCTGACTACCTAGTCCCGGTCTCCTTCCACGGATACGACACCTGGTCATCCTTGCGCACCCAGATCTTCGTCCGCTTCTTGTTGACAACATGCTCCACAAACGCCTCCCTCGTATACTGCGCCTTGAACTTGCGGATCCACCGCGGATCCCACAGCTCGCTCGCAATCCCCAGATCCTTGCAGCAGCGCACCAGCGCATTAGACCGACACCCCTCCGTCGCCGTCGGGATCCCATCAGGCGTGAAGTAATCCTGCTCGCCCCGCGCGACAGAAACTAACCTGTAGCACACTTAGCCTCCTATTCATATCTCCCAAACGCAAAGAGAAACAAAAGAAAGAGAGGGATACATACCGCCCATTACAAACCAACGCATACTCCCTCGTCACCGTACGCGGCGTAACGATACTCTCACTCCGAGGCACAAGACCCCACCCGCCTGGCCCAAACGCCCGGTTCAAAATCCGCCGGTACTTGATCTCCGGGAGGTACAGGATGCCATCGGGCTTGATCTCGACTTCTTCCGGGTCGACCTCCGCCAGTAGGATATCTGCTACCTCCTTGGGAAACGGCGCGGCGGAGAGCCCGTGGAAGGAGCGCGTCCAGTCAATTTTTTCTTCCGGGGGTGAGTCCGGCGAGAGCGGCGCGTCTGCGAGGCCGGTTTTGGAGATGTTGCTCGTGGTTTGGTGGGCGGGTGTTGGGGCGAGGATGCGCGCGGTGCGGTCGTCCGTTGCGGGGGCGGGTGCGGTTGATGAGGGGTTGGATGGCTTTGCTGGTAAGGTTGGTGTAGATGGGATGGGGGTTTTGGGGGCTGTCCGGGCTGCTTGGTTGCTGTTGTTGGTAGTGATGGATTTGTGAGAAGGGGTGGTGGTGATTGATCTGGTAAGGGCGAGGGTGTGCTGCGTGGTGGACCGGGAGGTCAATCTAGATGGAAATTTTGTAAAATTTGTAGACTCTACTAGCCGCAGAGAGCGGCGTATATGCGATGAAGCCATGGTGCCGGTGTGGTTGAGGATGGTTTGTTGTTAGAGCTTCTCATGCGGAGATGAGCTTGACGTCGCGTCTGTATAATGTCACGTGATTTACGTGTGCTTGAAAGGTCGTCTGAATTGGCAGACATACAGCTTGAAAGGGGTGAAGTTTCATATATTGTTACAATAGCGGCATCTATAGTACAGGCTAAATAGCAGTTGACTCGTTCTTCGAGTCTAAGCGTCCTTTGTTTGAGTCCGCTGGTCATTGCCCTTGCGCTTCCAGCACTCGCGAAATGCTTCCATCTGTCATAACATACTCATCAGCTTCAATTCTCTGATTCATTGTGTACGACGAGGTGAAATGAAAGCTAGAACAGGCGTGATGTGGTGCTTGCTTTCAGCTGCAACCGGTCTCAGCGGACTCACCTCGTCCTTGCACAGTCTCCAGTCCTTCTTTGTAAAATAGCAGTCGTTCATTTTATCCTGCTCCACTGTTGATCCTCAATTAGCAGCTTGTCTACTGACCATATTTTTCATTGTAAACTCACCTGCGCAACCGGTGCTGAAGATCCGCTTGTCCCTGTCCACCGATGACTCCGCATTAGTCCAGAACTTCAATCTCCGAGAATCTCAAAAAGTCAAAGGAAGAATCCTACCATTCATCAGGTTCATCGTCGTCCACTTCCGGGACCACCGCGGGCTTATCCTCCTTCTTCGACATCTTGTTCAATTGCTCAGACGTGAGCTGTATAAGCCTGTGAGTTGTGTCTAAGAAAGAGGTGATCTTGCTCCGTCCGGAGACCGACTCGCCGCATTCGCGACAACGACAGCGACAATGACCGCAACCACGCCCAACCTCATTGGCAAGAAGCTCAACGTGCTAGTTTACTCCGGTTCGTTCACCCAATCCGCATGGAGATCAAATAGTCTAATCAGTTCTCTTCCCTCTCCAGGCAATGGTAGCACCGTCGAATCCGTCCGGCACTGCCTCTACACCCTCCGCCGCCTCCTCGCCCCGCACTATGCCGTGATCCCCGTGACCGCCGAGATGCTCATCAAGGAGCCGTGGACTTTAACCTGCGCCTTGCTGGTGATGCCCGGAGGAGCGGATCTGGGGTACTGTCGATCCCTCAATGGCACAGGCAACCGCCGGATCGAGCAGTTCGTCAAGCGCGGCGGCGCATACCTCGGTTTCTGCGCGGGGGGTTACTACGGCAGCCAGCGATGCGAGTTCGAGGTCGGCGATAAGACGATGGAGGTGGTCGGGGATCGGGAACTCGCCTTTTACCCTGGAATATGCCGCGGCGGTGCGTTTCCGGGATTTGTGTACCACAGCGAGGTGGGCGCGCGCGCGGCCGAGCTCAAGGTCTCCAAGGATGTACTGCAGGCCGGTGTGGTGCCGGAGGGGTTCAAGTGCTATTACAACGGGGGCGGTGTCTTTGTCGATGCGCCCTTGTACGCGGATAAGGGCGTGGAGGTTTTGGCCAGCTACACGGAGGAATTGAATGTTGATCCAGGCACAGGTGCGGCTGCCGTCGTCTACTGCAAGGTGGGCGAGGGAGCGGCCGTTCTGACCGGACCGCATCCAGAGTACGTATTTCAGAGATTTCAAGGAGCAAGTGACTGACAGAACTAAACAGGTTCGCAGCGGCAAACCTAGACAAAAAAGCTGGGGGCGAGGATTATGCCAAGGTGGTGGATGCGCTGGCAGCGGACGATAAAGCGCGCACCGACTTTTTGAAGGCCTGTCTGTCCAAGCTGGGCCTGCAGGTCACCCAGAATACCACGACTGTGCCATCACTTTCGTCATTGCACCTGTCGTCTCAAAATCCGGCTGATACTTCCCGCATCCGATCGTCGTTGCAAGAGGTGATTAGTACCGAGGGGGACGAAGAATTCATCAAAGATGAAAATGATACGTTTCGTCTGGAGAGATCTGGGACTTGGAGTATGAGTTCACTGGAGGAGTCTCTCCCCCAGTCTGAACAGGGTGCTAGCGAGGGCATTGTTGATTACAACGCAATCATCAAACCTGTAGTGATCCACGACGAGCTTCCATCCTCAAAAGCAACTCCTTACTTCAATCACCATGCATACTACGCCAATCTCGAACAGTACCAGTCCCAGATGCGGGAAGGTGCTGGCTGTTTCGGTTCGAGCATCATGTATGGCGAGGTGGTCACTAGTACAAATACGATTCTGGAAAAGTAAGTGTTTCGCTGGACTTTTTGCCTTCAGAGCTGACGGATACAGAAATCCCAAATTACTCCGTAAACTGCCGCATGGATTCACAGCGACAGCAACCACCCAGGTCGCAGGCCGAGGCCGAGGCTCCAATGTCTGGGTTTCTCCGGCAGGGGCCCTGATCTTTTCAACGGTCGTAAGACACCCGATCGAAAAGATCCAGTCTGCCCCGGTGGTTTTCATTCAATATCTGGCGGCAATGGCGGTCGTACGGGGCATCAAGAGCTACGACGTGGGCTTTGAGAACATGCCAGTCAAGCTCAAATGGCCCAACGACATTTGTAAGTTCGATCCTCTCATTTAAATAGGGCTAGCTAATGAGTCAAGACGCCTTGGACCCGGAAAACCCGGACAAGAAGCACTACACCAAAATCTGCGGAATCCTCATCAACTCACTCTTCTCCTCGAACGAATACATCGCCGTCGTGGGAATCGGCATCAACGCCACGAACGCCTCTCCAACCACCTCGCTGAATGCACTCGCCTCTCGCTTTATCTCCAATAAAACCGCCCCAATCACACTCGAGAAACTCCTCGCCCGGTGCCTCACCACGTTCGAAGACCTGTACACCCGCTTCCTGCGGACAGGCTTTGACCGGGAGTTTGAGACAATGTACTACGACGACTGGCTGCACATGCATCAGGTTGTCACATTAGAGGAAGAAGGGGGAGCACGAGCCCGAATCAAGGGTATTACTCGTGACTATGGGTTGCTGCTGGCAGAGGAGTTGGGCTGGGACGACCGGCCTACGGGACGAGTGTGGCAGTTGCAGAGTGACAGCAACAGTTTTGATTTCTTCCGAGGATTGGTCAAGAGGAAGGTATAGACAGAGTCAGGTCTCGATAAAGTATATACTCTTCAATAGATTAGGTGATGAACAGGCCAAGAGCAGATCAAGATAAGCCGTGCCAAGGAGGCTTGTTTCAGCTTAGAGTCTGGGCATTATGGAGACGTAGCCCGACTGGCAGCAACCGATGGGCACTCAGACAGATAGCGGTCTCCCTTAGTGCAATCACAAGCCAGATCAGGCACAGTCAATTATGAGGGATTAATGCAATGGCATCACCCTACAACACACTCAGCTGGGGAAGCTCGAAGCTAGGATGCATCCAATGAACCACCGCCGATTCAGCCCCCGGCGCCATGACAGCTGGAGACGGGCCATCAACAAACCAGAACCGGATCATGCCGACTCGCCAGGCAGCATGATTCCTCTACAGAGCTGTCCAGTGGGAGAATACGCTCAGACGCTACGTCACATCTGAAACTAGACTATCTAGCCATGAAGCTAGCGACTCCTCATGTAGTAAAATAAAATAAAACTCACCGTCCCGTCCCGTCTCAAGCCCAGTGTCTCCTCAGCTCATCTCCTCCTCGACAGTTAGACTACCCACCAGCCATATCGCTTAGCACATACGCATAGGCATACACATACACACAACCAGCTCACTCTCACGCGTCTTGTTCATCATGTTCAACTTCAACCCCTTCAAATCCAAGGAGGAACAGACCCAGCAACCAACCTGGGACCCTAACACCCTAACCATGACCCAGCCGTCTACCCCCGCGGCACCAAGCCAGGTCGTGTCGCAGCAGCCGGTATACCTCATCCATCCGTCCCCATCTATTGACACAGTATCAACTGACGCTCGCCGTGTTAGCCCGCACAGGAACAGATGGACATGAGACTACGTGGCGGTGGTGAGAAGGAGGATGTTTGCTGTGGAGTGTAGGTTCCTCCCGTATCATTTGACAGGTGCTGTGGTGCCGGCGTGCTAATGAATAAAGGTGTGCGGGTCTTGCCTGTTTCGAGTGTTGCGAGTGTTGCTGTTAGTGGATTATGACGGGATATGGGTTATACCTTGTGATAGTCGTTGGGTACTGGATTAGTATAAATACAGTGATGAATTGATGCAGCGTTGTCTTGAAATGGATCGGTGGCCTACGGCTTCTGGGTTTGATGTGCTTAGTTGTCAAGCGCAGAACTGGTATCATGATTATGTATATACTCAAATACACCGCGAACGCGACCACTGAAACAGAAAAACCTCCAAAGCTAAAGGTAATCCGCCTCACGCAGCCGGACAGTAACATTATCCGCCGGCGCACTGGTCAGATTCAAAGCATGCCGAATCTCCAGATGCGGCTGCACGTCCTCGATCGCGTCGAAGCGCTGCAGCAACCGCACCAGGACGTATCCCGCTTCGGTGAGGGCAAACTGCTGCCCGATACAGATGCGCGGCCCGCCGTTGAACGGGACATAATCCCAGCCCACCTTGCGATCGATCCACCGGCTTGGCTTGAACTCCTCGGCGTCAGGGCCCCAGATGTCTTTGCGCCGGTGCAGGACGTGCACGTTGTATACGACGAGCTGGCCCTTCCGCACGTAGATGGGCTGGGTGCCGTCGCTGCCTCCGCCGCGGGGAAGGGTGGTATCCTTCGTTGCGGAGCGGCGGTTGCCGGGGACCACGGGGAACAGACGCAGAGCCTCGTTCATACAGTACTGCAGGTATTGGCAGGACTTGAGGCCGGCAAAGGTGATGTTGCAGGGTTGGTTGTAAGTGCCGAATTCGTCGATGATGGTCTGTCGGAGCTTCTGGAACTCGGCCGGGTGGCGTGCCAGCATCAGCACTGTCCAGCTGAGCAGGGACGCGGTGGTATCACGTCCCGCGAGGAGGATGTTCAACAGCTGCGAGCGCAGTTCGATCGGGTCCTGGGTGACGGAAACCAGAGCGTGCAGGAAGACGTATTGAGACGATTTTTCCGGGTCCGCGAGCTTGCCTTCGCGGGCGGCTTTGAGTGCTTTGTGCACGAAACGGTCCACGTACGCGTGCACTTCCTTCTCCGCGTGGCGCGACTCCTTGTTGTTCACAATCCAGTACAGTTTCTCGAAGCGAGCCCGTTGCGCCGCGTACCATTGCGACTTGTCAAAATAGTAGGGGAATTTGTCCTCGGGGGTCTGACCACCCTTCAAGGCCGAGAGTTGGCTCTCAACGCTCTCGCCGAAGAGGAATTCGGTCGCGGAGTCGATGGTGAGACGGAAGAAGATGGATTGGATGTCCACTGCCTCGGTCCACTTCCCGTTGACGACAGGCATCGCCTGCATCGCCTTTTGGACATGACGTTCTTCCAGGTCGAGGTCACTGATTTGATCACGCGTGAACTGAGGACGGAGCAGACCTCTGGAGCGAGACCACTCCTCACCATCGGAACTGAACTACACCAAAGTTTGTTAGCATGCCGCACATACCCAGCATATTCACGGAACAAAACCTACAATGCCAGCCCCCAGAACGGGATGCAGAGCTTGCCTTCGAGGAGCCCCCAGCTCAAAGTCCTTGAATTGCGTGGCGAGAATGGCTTGGATGTTCTTCGGATCTGTTGTGAAATAATTCTCACGTCCCATTTGCCTAAACCGGAAGGTTGTAACATATCGGCCCTCGCGGTCGCTCATGAGCGCGACCCGGCGCTCAATCATCGGTAGAATTTTTTTCGCTTTGTCTGCTGCCAAAGCTTCCTTGAGAACACTGATACCTAGAGGATCACTAGGATAGAGAGGAGTTGGGCCACAGCCTAATCTGCGGGCATTTTGTGCGTGCTGCCATCTCGAAACCAGCGCCCACAGCAGACGGAGGGCAACAGCCACAGCCGCGATGGTCAGAAGCGGGAACGCCATCGCAATAGGAAGATGAATTGAAGACAGACCGGAGACTCTGGTTTTATCGTTCAAATTCCCATATTTCTCTGGGATGTGATACCTCGCTTTTTAAGAAGTATGCCAGCGGAAACGTGACTTTAGCCGAGGGTCCGAGGCCCTATAATGGAAGCAAGGTGGGGAAAGGGGTCGCAAGAATAACGAAGATGAGGAAGGACAATGCAACAATTTTCTTCATAGTGAGTCTTGTGCTATGCTTGATCAGATTTTGGATGAGGTCACTGTGCATGGACATGTTATTCAGGTCATGCGTGTTTCATCTGCCTCTTGGCTGACCGTTCTAGTACCCCCCCATCGAGTGCTCCTCCACCTTCATAAGGTTGGCTACGGGATCTGGAACACTATGCAAGTGTGGCGATGCCAAATCAAAGATAACTGGTCAGCTTAATCTCCTTAAAGGACCTAGTCGTGTCGATCACCGTAAATGCCGGTCCTAGGCATCGGTGTATCCGAAGCACTGTGCAACTACTCTACATAGATATCAGGCAATACAATTACCTCCGAATCCAAAGTCCGTCCAGTTATCAGGGACTATGCGGGTTTGGGAGGCGGTCTTCGATGAATTCAACTCCAAAACCTAAGCAATTATGTTACGAGTTGTGGGCCTTCTGGCATTTTGAGGTGAGCCAGAATTAGGGCCTAGGGGCTCATGCAAGAAGCACACCTGCACCGTTCGGCGTTGGTCAACGGAGATGCTACCTATTCGGCCAGGTCTTCATCTCGGCTTTGGCCGAATAAGACGTCTGTTTCAATGAACCAGTTATTTTTGGGTGCTTGAAAGGAGTGCAGGTTGACCAGTTTGTTTGGTCAGCTACTATCTTTTCAACTGCAATCGACAAATTAGAAAGTCATATTCTCTGCGCTTGAAAATAGATTAGCATTTGTGACGTCGACATCTTGAATCTGCTCGTACAAATTCAACCAGGAATCGAGGTTACCCTAAGCTATGGAAATCTGGAGTGCCCACTGCGGAACCAGAGATGATCAAAAGCTGGGACGTGGCGGATCACAATGCCATTGTTGGGTTTAAGATCAACGGCATCTCGCGTGCTCAGTTCGTTGCTGGTCTCCAGCTCAAACCTTCCCGATGAACAGGGTTCTTTTGAGACATTAGATGATGGTATCTGATGCCAAAGAAACGATTCGACTGTGGTTCGACTGAGAAGCTCGAAGGTCTCGAGCCTTAAGCAGATTCAGACCAGCTTGAGACTAAGCCCAAAATGGCTAGTTAAGTGTGCAAAGCGGTGGTAAACACAGAAGGCGGTATACATATTTCCGGCAGTATTGCTCTGTTTGGTCTGATGACCTCAAGATGCCAGCCCTGCCCAACTCTTCTGACTCTTTGTCCCAATGCTTTTGAGATTGCGATCAATCAGAACATCGAGTGACTAACTATTCAGCTTTTTAATAACTTCTTTGGTCGGATATTGCTTGTTGTTTAGCAGTGGAATACCCCTCACGAGCCTTGGTCCTTCCTGCGTCTTGTTCGTGTGCCCAACAACGACACTTGGCGGCGTTGGCGCTGCATAGCTCGCCGTCATACCACTATCAATTGGCTCCAACTGTCTCTGGACCGCACACAAAGTCTAATTCTTTATATATTATCTTCCTCCCGGATATTTGATTGTTGTTACTTTTGAACTTTCATACGTCCAAACAACATGTGCATCGCATTAATTTCCACAGCTCACCCCTCCTATCCTCTGATCGTTATCGATAACAGGGATGTATGCGAATATTGACCTCGGAGCACCTCGTTACCCTACATAAACTAACAGTAATCAGGAGTTCCTCCGTCGTCCAACATCCTGCGCCGACTGGTGGCCGGAACCTAGCACCAACGTGCTGGGAGGCAGAGATCTGGCTCGAGCCACACATGGGACATGGATGGGGGTCACAAAAGAAGGGAAACTAGCTGTCCTGACCAACTATCGGGAGACTACAGCGGATGAGCCTAGTGGAGTACATAGTCGAGGCCTGATTGTCAACAACTGGCTTACAGCGGACCCCGAGCAAAGACAATCCACCAGAGATTTTGTACAGGGAATGGTAGCCTCGTCCGAGATCAGAAATGTCGGCGGATTCAGCCTGGTTTGTGGTTATGTCAATGAGCCGCTAGCCATCGTATCGAACCGGTCGGCCAATATGGACCAGATCTCTTGGATTGCCACAGAAAAGGGTCAGACATTGGGACTCAGCAACACAACGTTCGGTGATCGCTCCTGGCCAAAGATCCTCGACGGGGAAAAGCTCATGAAAGAGGCCATCAATGCTCATGTGCAAGCGGGTGAAGACGAAGATCAACTCATCAGCCGACTACTTCACGTCCTGAGCCGGGATACTCTCCCCAGGCTCTCGGGAGACTCAACGCTGGAGACCTACCTCCTCCTGCTGCGACAGAGTATCTTCGTCCCAGTGATTGGAGCACAGGCAGAGAAGTCTAGGGCAGCCGACGAGGTTGCTGCAGCTCGCGATACGGACAGGGTTCCAGTCGAAAGTCAACCGCCACATGATTTGCTGGACAAGTCATTCTTGCAGGGCGCATATGGAACTCAGAAACAGACTGTGGTGCTCGTAAGTGCAAATGGAAGAGTGAGATACTTTGAGCGTACGCTCTATGATAACGATGTAAATGCAATTCCCATCGGCAAAGGCGATAGGTCGTTTGAGTTCCACGTCAGTCGATAATGGAATAGCATGTTCATAGTGTCGAACTTCCTTCCCCAAAACATCCTACCACTTCAATGAATCGTACCAGTTGTATCAAATGCAGGCAGGAGGGGCATTTTCACCTGCCTGACTGTCTAATGTAGCTCGCATTATGTTGCGGCTTCTCGCCAGAACTGTAACCAAACAGAGGTGGTTACCAAGGCCATATTCTACTCGTGTTTTCCCATCGCGCGGTATAGACTATTCTTCGAGACAGTTACAAACTGATCAATAATAATAATAAGGTAACCCCCTATTTCCCTGCTCGAGGCTCCAGTGCATGCTCAGTTCTAGAGAGCTCATTAAACATGCAATCTAAAAACCGTTAGTTCCCTGATGGCTGACTTTCGGTGGGTCTTGCTAATGTCCCTGTCTCACTTCGAGCTTTGGAGCTTTCGACTTCCAATTATTCCTATCCATCCGCAATTAAGTCCAACCTTTCCAATCATCAATTTCATGCTTGGCAAAGCACGTATCTTGACGTCGGCACCTCAGATATGTTGTTTTACACAAAGATTGGTACAAGCTTTCGGTTGCACGATCCGAAACAACCGTTGCTCACCGTGTCTGAACTATCAACGGTCCAGATCGAACCAACGCTCCAAAATAATTTCTCCGCCAACGAACGCATTCCTTGGAGCGCTACTGCTGTTTCATCTAAAGCAGAGCTCCTCTCATCCTTCGATTTACCCGCACGGAACGAAATCAGGCAATTGCATTGGATATTTGGCTGATGGCGATGATGCTATCCGAGCCTGGAACAGTTCCTCGCTGTCTCCTTAATCAAAGCCACTCAGGATCAAATATACGGATCAGGCACCGGTTTAGCTATTCGCCGGCTAAGCCTTCTGGCCACCGCTGAGCCTGCTTTTTGTCCACCTTCACGTCGGACGCCGAAAAACTGAGCTGACTGGAATACCGGAGATGAAGACTTAACATTGTGTCTCGGACAATGATCGGTACCATCCATCTCCTCCTTCACGGCGCCACTACGATTGTTCAAATGTCGTTCTGGAACTATGCTCTGCCAGCGCTCCGAACTGTGCGCCCCTGAAGTTAAATGATGCATCATCAAATTCATGACTTAGGCCCGGATAATTATGGCGGCTGTGCTCTATTTTCCAGGCAACCCGGCTAGTGGCTAGTAGCCACAGCTAATGGAGAACTCGAAGCTTGGACAACGCTTGATCCCTTGCAATATGATATCGATGTGACCCACGCCACGGAGCCATTCCAGAGGCAGAAAATCTTGCCTCGATATTAAAGCTGTGGAGCTTGCGAAATGAACGGGGATCCCTGAACCGCATCCTCCGAGCTGACGGGGTCAATATAAGATGAGCACGCTGGACTCATTCTTTCAGGCCATTTCTTTCTTCTCTCTGCAACTCAAGACTGGTTTCTTGTCACTCATTAGACTTTGGATTTCGTCTTTCGTCTCTCTTTTTTCCCCTTTGCTTCTTTTCGACAAGCTCGATACACATTCTTTACACCACCACCATGAGAATCAGCAACTTGATCATGGCCGCCAGCGCTGCTGGTCTGGTCAACGCTCTGCCCGTACGCGAGATGGCCAAAAAACGCTCCTCTGGATTCACCTGTATGTTGAGGCGATAATCCTACCATGGTATGGTATCTGGACTAGACTAACACTATACGCCTGCAGGGGTCGGTGTCAACGAATCTGGTGCCGAATTTGGTAGCAGTATCCCCGGAACGCTGGGTACCGACTACACATGGCCCGATACATCCAAGATTCAGACTCTGCGCAATGCGGGTATGAACATCTTCCGTGTTCCATTCTTGATGGAGCGTCTGGTCCCCAGCTCCATGACCGGTACCCCGGATGCCACCTACCTGAGCGACCTGAAGAAGGTAGGGCAGCGACATTTGCTTTGACGTGAGGAGATGCTAATATTCGGCGATAGACCGTCAATTTCATTACCGACAGTGGTGCTTATGCCATTCTTGATCCTCATAACTATGGAAGATAGTAAGTCATGGCTGGTCCTTACCAGCGGAGTGGTAACTAAAATCCGCCGTACAGCTCTGGAAGTATCATTTCCTCTACTTCTGACTTCCAGACATTCTGGAAGACCGTCGCTAGCGAATTTGCCTCTAATGACAAGGTCATCTTCGATACCAGTGAGACTCCCGACCACCGGAGACCTTGGAGATTTGATAGCTTGGAATTGTTAGGCTGATGTTTCCAGACAATGAATACCATGATATGGACCAGACTCTGGTGCTCAATTTGAACCAGGCCGCCATCAATGGTATTCGTGCTGCCGGTGCCACAACGCAATACATCTTCGTTGAAGGTAACCACTACAGTGGCGCCTGGACCTGGACTGACAACAATGACAACCTTAAGGGTTTGAAGGATCCTCAGGGCAAGATCGTCTTTGAGATGCACCAGTACCTTGACTCGGACGGTTCTGGTACCTCTGAGTCCTGTGTCAGCTCCACTATCGGCCAGGAGCGTGTGCAGTCTGCCACTCAGTGGCTGAAGGACAATAGCCTCAAAGGATTCCTTGGAGAGTTCGCCGGTGGTGTCAACTCCCAGTGCGAGACCGCCGTCGAGGGTCTTCTCTCTTATATGTCCGAGAACAGCGACGTCTGGCTCGGTGCTGAGTGGTGGTCTGCCGGTCCCTGGTGGGGAACTTATATGTACAGTCTCGAGCCTACTAGCGGTCCTGCCTACTCAACCTACCTTCCCATTCTGGAGAAGTACTTTGTGAGCGGCACCGGCTCTTCGTCCTCCTCTTCCTCGACCACTGGCTCTTCTGCCTCCTCCTCCTCCTCCTCCTCCTCCTCCCCCTCCTCCTCCTCCTCCTCCTCCTCCTCCTCCTCCTCCTCCTCCTCCTCCTCCTCGACCACCAGCTCTTCTTCCTCCTCTTCCTCGACCACCAGCTCTTCTACCTCTGTGACCAAGCCAACCACTACTGCCCCTACTCAGGTTCAGGTCGTCGCCACTTCTTCCTCTACCCCTACTCCGTCCTCAGTGTCTGCAGCCGAGACTCCCTCTCCCGCTCCTACTGAGGCTGCTCAGCCCTCCAGTGCCGCCCCCACCACCCCGACGACCGCCGCTGCTTCGACTTCTGCTTCTGGCTCTTCCGTTTGCGATGCCTCCGAGCCTACCGCCAGCAGCTCTGCCTCTGGCGTCGCCAAGCACTGGTACCAGTGCGGTGGAGTCAACTGGACCGGCCCTACAACCTGCGAGAGCGGCTACACCTGTGTTAAGCAGAACCCTTACTACCACCAGTGTCTTTAATTTAGGCCGTTGGTCTTCCGCATTGCACTCGGAGGGTGATGGGCAGCTGAGGATGAGGGGGGTGAGTCGTGGGTCGTTCTAGGATAGACCGGGTCACACGACCGCATTTCGCTTCGATGTAAATAGTTCAAATATTCAACTCTTGCATTAGCATTAACATTTCCTCCGGGACCCCAGTATTTCATAGCCACATCTTTGTGTAATCAAATGTGCATTACTATCCCTATCCACTGCGTGGAAGGATAAGCCTCAAATTGCGCATCACATGCTGCGCAGCTAGACCAGGGCCAAGTTTTACAATGATCTAAATATTTACTTCCTAATTCAGCAACTCATCTGATATGGCCCGATCAAGTGACTTTCCCTCGTACGAACTGAACCGCAAATCTCTTCGGACCTCGGCTCTACATGGCTTGCTCGGACGAGTAGAACGTCCAGGGTCCGGTCCGTGGAAAGTAGAGCAATCAGTGGAAACGGGAGGAAATCGGCGACTGGAGCGCGAAAGCCCCGACACCCGTCGCCGATTACTTATCCTTCGCCATGTGGTTTGTGTTTTATTATGCATAGGCGCATAATGCATAAAAATAAGCATAAAGCGAAGTTACTAAGCGGTGGTAAGGGAAGTGGCGTTATGCTGACTTCCGTTTCTTTACTTCGAATGTCGGGCAGAAAAATCAGCGGTGATTGGTGCTGATAGGTGTATTTGATTGTTGTGATGTTATCGAGTTGAGTGTGATGTCAAGCATATTTAGGTGTCATTACCTTATCCTTATGGAATCTGTAGGCCTAATAGTATGGAAGACATGTAATCCTTGCTTCGAATGTTCGCCTTTGGTTTCGTCAATGTCATTGACGAACTTGGAAGATATCGACGTGCCACTAGATAACTTGATTTGTATGGCGATGTTTCTCTGATTGCGACATCGATATCGACATCACAATGTCATTGTAGTGATGGAATCTTTTTGCCTTAGGCGATCTTATTGTCTGGAATGATCGAAAGTAGTCATTGTATGTATATGGATGCTTATTTGTGATGGCTTCCCCAGATATGATGTCGACGGAAATTGATTAGAAATGGTTGACGTCACTATGTATGGTAGCTACTGCTTCATTCGGACCGTATACAACGTGCACCCCGGCAAACCCGAGAAACCGCATCGGAGTTGGCCATTGGAGTACCATGGCTGGCATTTTGAAATATTCAAGTTAACGTGGTTGCTAATCATTTGGTAATTCAAAAGAGAAATCCTTAGCAACACTGAGTCCTTGCTTGAAAGTCTGCAATTATGATCATGTATTTGTTTAAGGGTTAAGGTAAGCGGCTTTCTTTATCCTACAGAGATCTCATTGAATTATAAGGTCGTGGAGAATAGTTGAAAATGGTAATACCCACTTGATGCAGTGCAGCTCCTCCACATGGTGGATGATTCAGCTATAGGGCGGTGCACTGGGGTAATTCACCTGCTTGACAATAATAACCGTAAATCTGGAGAACGTGCTACATCAGACTTACTAAGGTAGTCCATTCGAACTTGCCAGGCTTCATTGTTGCCTGATATCGTATAAATGTATCGAAAAGGTTGGGTGTATTTCTCCCGTTCGACATCTTGCTGCCCAGGCGAGGAACATTACAAATGCTTTTCATATAAGCCAAGAAGTATATGTCATGCGTTGCCTTGGACAGTTCCGAAACTCGACTGGGTAGCAGCTTTCCATAAGGTCCCTCATTATGAATCTGTGACAGTGTGACTCGCATGCGAACCATGATTGGCAATACTCCGCAAGTATCATGTCAGCCTTAACCCGGAGCATGGCTCAGACATCCATCGCTTATGGCTTACGTGGGCACTTGCCATCAAACCAAGGAGATTAGATTTATCAATGCCCTAATTTCCGATTCAGCCTGCAAGATACGAACACGATGGGGCAGTGTAGTCCTGACTTCCGATAGGATTAGTGACGGCTTGTCAGAATCACCTCAGCATTTGAKGCTGATTATGGAACTCTGATAGGTAATCAGATAAAAAAAACGAAGGATCGGAATAAGAATACGGAGTATCCAACCTTGTCGGTTACGTTGATTCCGTAATCCGCACTTTGGGCACTTTCTCTTCCGCCGGGTCTCGTCAAGACGGTCACTCCGACGAACTCTAAAACCACTTGTCGAAAAGCGGAGTGATACTGGCACGGGGATGCATCCTCGCATTCGCTTAGGTACACCACTCCTGTAAGCTTCTACCTAGTGGCATCGACTGAAGCCCCAAAAATGCGGTCGGCATTGGACCGAAAACGTAGTTCATTGCTACCTACTATCCACGTCTCTAAAGCAAGGGTCTGATCATTTATTTTCTTTTTGAGATCCACGTAAGAGTAGGATGTGACATGTGTCGTCTTAGACTTAACTTTGCCAGGCCATGTGCTGTGTAATTTGACTATAATTGTTGATCGTTCAGTAATCATAATAACCCCGCTTGTAAACTTAAGGTAGTTTGTGATTTCAAATCTAATGTTTCTCGACAAGCTCGATATCCTGGAATCCTGGAACCTTCCAGCGTTCCTCCGTTATGTGTATATAAGAAAGGTTGTTTGTTGATTTGCAATCATAATAGTGTTCATCACATCAGCAATCACCAAGGGTCAGAGGGAACGGGGCGGAAAGATTGGTCATCCGAGCCCCAGTTGCAGGGCTGGATCGGCACCCTCTGGCCAGGAATTGCCTAAAGGAGATAAGCCTGGCGGAATTAAGGACGTGAGTCATTGGTACTCATTGGCTGCCGGAAGGAGGCGGTGAGCCTGCAGTATTGGCGACTGCCTGTCTGACTAATTTTTCATTGTGGTTCCTTGGATCGCCATTGATCGGTTGATCGCCAGGGCTGAATCAGAATGGCTGGTTTTCCCTTCGTTTTTTATTTTTCATATTCTCAGGTGGATCCAGTTGTCCCGTTGTGTCCGAGCCATGGATGTCAGGCTCGCTTTCKCTCCGGCGTCCGATCGCCGTTCGGACTTAGACGGGATCACGGCAGCCAGAGGTCAAAAAACATCACTAAGAGAAATACAAGGAATATATGAATAATGGAGAAAGAGGATTAAAAGGTAAAAAATTTCAGCCTAGTCAACAACAAAAGTGGATATATCAGAAATTCATATCAAGCCCATCTTGCCCTGGTGAAACCTGTCTCATTAATATTTTCTACTTTCCACACAACCTACTACTATCATCCAGCCATCAAGCATCTACAGCCTCACTTTCTGCCTTGTAAGAGGATACATTACCACCTGTGGCTGTTCCACATCCGGTCGAACAGACAACCAGTTGAACTCACATCGCAAATCGGTCGAACACATCTGCGCCGTACTTTGAAGAAAGATAAAGGGACTATTGAATTGCCCCTACCTGGCTTGGCCGAAGGTGCAATTTACCGCCTGCATATCGCTTGACTCACCGCTCTGTGCTACAATCGATTGTATTGGAGGTGGGCCCGACCGCCGGAACGAGAAGCACAGCCATAGTCCAGTCTTTGACTCACCACAGTGGACGAGTCAATTTCCTGATCGATCTTTGGTTGAGCTCATAAGCACATCAACACCCCGAATCTGGAATCATGGTTGTAAATTCCTCCACAACTCGCTCTCCTTCTTCTTCGTCTTCTCCTTCTCTCTCAAGTACCTTCTCCTCTACATACTCCAAAGCAATCGCCCAACGGCGTCAACAGAAGAAAATGAGCATTACGCAAACATACTACCTGGCTCACACCGCCCGCAAGAAGCTTACTCGGGAAGCTTCACGGGCGGACCACGATCTCCGTCTCCTGGTTGGCCATGCCAACCTGCTTGATTCATTGATGCTGGATCTCGCCGATGCCGAGCAGGAACAGGAACGGTGGTTCAACCAGACAGTCAATGGAGCTAGCAAATCCTCTCAAAACTCTCAGACTCGACACATCCAATGGGCCGACACTGTCATTGAAGAACCCGAGGAAGACTGGGATCCCGAAGATGCCTCCGACCTTGACTCGGACAGTGACGACTCGGACTCTGATGCTGAAGACTACGAAGAGGAACAAGCATTTGCCACGATCCAGAAGCCCGTCCGGCAACGGGCACCATCGCCCGTGGCTGTCGTCACCGAGAAGGAAGTGGATGAGGACTACGATTCGGACTCAGACTCGGATTTTGAATACGACGATATCGAAGATCTAGAAGAGCTCACATTGACTCGCGCACCATCACGACAAACCCCTCCCGAGCTCTCCTCGGACTCCGACGAGGACTCTGATGATGATGCTACGCCTCCCTCACCGCCGCAACCCACGCTGGCCAGTTTCTCAGAGAAGCAGCCTCAATCGGCCGAGCTTCCACTTTCCGACCCTGAATATGGGCCGGGGTATTACGTTACTGGACAGGAGCAGAGCACATTCATCGAGGCGTACTGATTACGTCTTGTTTCGATTGATTGTTTCTCCGCCAGTGTATATTCTCGTGATACCCCTTTGTCTGATTTGGGCATTTATTTTCAACGGCTTTCATAGGCTAAGCCGCACGGAGTTTTTTTTGGACTTATTTCAGCTATCAATCTGATGCATCTATTGGCGTCTAGAATTTTGTTAGTGTCCACTATTGGGCACCATTGATGATTCTCTACTCTTACGAAGGCATGTATGGAGCCCCTATTGTCGGGCATGCATGATGGGATGGCCTTGGTATATGGCCAAGCTTATTATATATATATGATGATCTATAGATCAGAAAAAATGAATAAATTCTTGAAAATATTCGTCCTCCCCCTTTTATTTTTCTAGTAGCACAGTCTCCGACTGGATGATCGTCTCAATTCTGAGACACTCCATCCAGTTGTTAATTCGCATTGGGCACCTGGCCTTTTAGAATTGTCTTTCAGCGACCGACTATTTGCTGACTAGTAAGTTTAAATTCTCATCTGGCGTAAACAGAAACTCTTCATTTCAGATGCAAAGTATCTAAGGGCAATAGCTTGAGCT